AGCAGAATGGCGCGAACTAAGAGGTGGACGTGGGAACTGGCAGAAAGATATCAAGATAGGACGGCGTTAGAATATTGTTGATGCAGGATAGGGTCTCCATCACCCTTCCTGCGGATGACTGGAAACGTTTCAAGAAAAAAATCATTCAGCTGTAGCACCCTTTCGGTGCCTAGCTGCCATGCCACCCGAAGGAAGCACGAGGACTGAGATACTGCCAGGTTGCCCAAGCCTAGACAGGGGAAGTCGAGAGGCGGTGGGGTTCGAACCACGGACCTTCCGATCAGTAAATTCGAGCTCTAACCACTTGGTCCATCTCGGTCCCCAGACGTTTCAAGAAATGGCGGCTAACCGATGTCAGTGGCGTTTGTCCAACCAATCAGCTGATTGATCACCTGGATGTTTTGGGGTGTAATCACGCCAAAAGGTTTGCGATAAGCAAACACCAGAAGCTCCCCATTCAGTCTTCCTATTTTATTTTGCGGTTTTAAATATGATTGAGTGAACTTTGGATGTTTTACACAAAAAGTTACTAACCAAAAAGGGTTAATCAGATTCTACTCCAAAAACTGATAGCAAGATATCTCCAGATCATTGCTTAATCCTCCGAATAGAAATGGTGAAAGAAAAATCTACGAATGAACTGAAGATGATTAAACTCGTACGACCTTCTTATGTGGACGACTGCATTAGCCCCGGCGGATACAGTAAGTATTGCTTCAATTGGAAAAGCCAGAGAGTGACTTCTGCCTATCCTTGATGAACCCGGCTGCTGACAGAAAATTAACCAGCCTATCAAGATTGCGTATTATTTCTTCCTGGGAACCCCCCTAGGGAAAAGTAGTCTCTTGAAGAGCACACAGTTGTGCAACGCATCAGCTGCAATTTATATTAAGTCCCAGAAGAGGCCCAAAAGTATCTTACTCACGACGCCTTCCCCTCAGAAGGATCGCTTTACACAACTAGCGTTGTTGTGTATGTCAGAAACTTGAATAGAGAGACTAGAGGGTAAAAGAAAAATTTGGACGTTTGACCACCTATGTCAATCATCATGAGGCACTGAAAGACCACCTATGTCAATCATCATGAGGCACTTCAGATTGGTTCCGAAGCAGCAAAGTGCACGCACTTTGCATGTGGGAACACTTTCAGCTCTGTGGAACCATTTTGTGTTGAACACACGCGACCAAAACCCAGTAGGTTCAAAACCAAGCACGAAATACGGAGGTTTTGAACAGCACACCGTAGCATTGGTAACTAGTTGGTCATGGTTGGACGTCACTAAATGGTGTCTAAAGCGGTTAACCGCAAAGCACTGGTGACAGGCGGCAAATTATCCTAACCAAGACTATCAATGAACCGTTCACAGAACACACTGAATAAACAGGAGGCGGTTTGGAAGTCCTGCTGCAAGTACTGTTCGATGCGCAAATTACGTGTAAAACCTACATTGTCATCATCATTATCAGCCGTAAGAACCGCGTAGTGGTTGTAGCTGCCACAGTTTCGTTCACGGATGGTTTGAGGAGGTGGGGTAGGTAGCTACAGTGTAGAGCCACTCGATACTTGGCGACGAATCACAACCTGATATCAGGCGAACACATCACATCGCCGGTCGCCCAACAAAAACCGCATCTTTCCTGTCACCTAGATTCCTATTATTGAGACAAGATTTCTGCTACTGACTGATCACCAAGGCCTGTAAGGCAGAGGAACACGGAAGCCTGAACATCCGTTAGTGAATTCGCGAAAGGGCACCAGTAAGCTCAAACACATTCTACCATGTGAAAGGAAAACGGTGGAAATCAAACGAACCGCCTCTATTCAGTGAGTACGTGTCTATTGCGAAAGGCTCGTTCTTTCCCAATCTGAAACCTTCACTGTCATCCGACACTTGTATTGGATTCACTCTGAACGAATACAATTCACCATGGTCAAGCGCACCTTTTCATCGAATCCGCTCACTACGTTCGAAAGCTACAGACGATCACCTGGTGTTCGCGACCGACCATAGTATTATCAAGACACGCGTCGCATAGCACGATCGTGGTCTTCGTATTTGGTGGCTCTACACTGGACTAACGGAACATCTACTACAACTGACAGCTGAACCCCGGCGCTAAACGTCGCCACGTTCATTCTAAAACTCCAAAGACCAAACAATGGTTTTGAAAAATACTAAGCAGCCCTGGCCAAAAACACCCCACACTCAGTGGGCCAGATAAGGATCCTACGTGCTCTTGAGTAGATTTCATACAAATGCATGCAGTGAAAATTCAGCGTCCAAAAGATCCCAGGAATCTAACAACATGAAGCTTGTGAGTGCATGAATCAGCGAACAGCATTCGCCTTGGCTTCCAAATCACAACCGCCTCCAAATGTAAACAAACGGTGACCTTAAAACTAAAACGTACAGACGGCGCGTGACATAAGATGGGTTTGTTTTTGCATCTTGCGTAGCTGCTTAAAAATTGCATGTACGTGTGGAGATCGAGATGCACAGATAGGACACTTTGGACATTCTTGTCGAATTCTATCGACTGAAGAACGGAAAGGAACTCTTACAGTCGCGGCTCAGTAAAACCACAACCGAGCGTTCGAATTCGCTACACACTACCCAACCGATTCCAAAAACCTAATGTCGCATGTAAGAAAAGAAAATTCATTCCTGCCATACCGTGATGCCGTGCCGGTAACAAATTTAAACTCACCCTCAGGGGACTGGAGCGAAATGAGCTTTATTCAGGGAGGGGAGAGAG